GATCATGATGCTCCAGAAGCTGCTGCTGATGCTCCTGCACCCGGCGAGGGTGATGAGCAGCCAGGATATCAGTATAGCCCCCAGGTCCCGGTGCCCGAGGATGCCATCTGGACTTGCATGTACTACAAGAAGGACCACAAAATCGGGGTGCGGTTCCTTGTGAGGTTCGAGGGCAAGAAGTTCGAAAAGCAAGTGTTTTCCTTCGGTGGCCGCCTCTGTGACAAGCCCGAGAAAGATTTGAGAAAGATCGGTTGGAAAGCTGTGGCAAAGATGCAGAAAGAAAGGCAGCCACCGGCTGTCGTGGAGAGCTGGGCCAAGCAACAGGTGTGAGGCGGGATTTTATGCTTTTTTTCAGCATGAACATTTGAAGAATGCATGTTGTGTGCCTGCAGGTGGCTGCGAGGAACTCAGCTGTGTAGTTAATTCGCCTCCCATGGGGAGGCTTAGATTAATATGCTCCGGTGCACCGAGGTCACGATCGATCAACTAGTGTACCTTGACCCCCCTTTTCGTGCTGACATCCAGGGCGAATGCATGGTCTTTGCATGGGCGGTGGTTTATATCGATTCTTGAAAGCCGGGGTGTATTGAAAGTAATTTGTCGACTGCATCCCCCAGCCCTAAAACCCTATAGAAACCTTCAAGCCCCAAACCTGACAAAGATCGACTTGGGTTGCGAACTTTTGGCCGGTGCCACAAGGTTGCAGCTTTTGATCGTCGACGGGTGGGTGCTGATCGGGTTATTCCTTGTGTGAAAATTAATATATAGTACATAGCAATTGGGTTTTGGTGTATATACATACATAGGCAGGGTTTGGATAATTTAATACAGATATAGCATTGCAGTGAACTATATCTGTAGATATATTTGAAAGAGGCCATATTAGCTTAAGAACTTCGCAAAGCGCCAGCCTGTTGTGAATAACTGTGAAGCAAGCTTACAAGGGTAACTGCTGTGTTGAATGCCTCGTGAACTGGATGACCTATATATAGCAGCTCCTATGAGGAGTTTAGGATTCATCATTAGACCCTGACAGCTCCAGGTACTTTCTTGGTGAGTGGTTGATGGATGGATCGATCTCGAGGACTGGCCATCTGTGCAAGTGCATGCGAGCTGAGTTCCACGTCGGCCATGTGTTCATGCTTCGATGCTCGCATGTTGGTCTGAAGCTGTTGACAGCAGGCTTGTAAGATTATTTAGTTCCACTTATAGATCTAGCACCCTACACCCTAAACCCTGAACCCCTATATATCCTAAACCCTAAACCACTTAAGCTGTATAGACTTGTTGAGGATCCAAGGCTCAATTCTTAAGTTAACCCTAAATCCTCAAAGTTTTTCCAACCCTAACCCTAAGTGTATTAAATCTATATTTCGATTCCATGCAGGTTCGATCTAAACCCACCTCGTGCCGGCCTGGTAGGATTGCTCGAGGGCTATATTATATGTATACATATATACATAAGTACATATATGTGTGCATATATATATGTATGTATGTATTCTCTCTCCTCGGGGGCCTTTCCGGGTCTTAAGCTGTAAGCCCGGGTCGGCGCTTATGCTGGGTCGATGATTACATAGGTCGATCTAGGCCTAACTTAGGGGCCTCGTATCCCAAGACTCTCAGATTAACTTAAGCCCTAGGCTTTAGTGCTTCTCTCGAGATGGCTTCCGATGATGAGATGTGGTGGGAGGAGCTGGAGAGGGCGGAGGTGCCGTCGCCTGGCAGTGAGGAGGTGGAGGAGTTTTTTAGACGGCAGGCGGTGGCTTTGAGATCGCCGAGTTCGTCGTCGGTGCCATCCAGCAGGAGGTGGAGGGATCTCAGGTGGAGGCACAGGATGCTGGAGGCGTCGGAGTCGCCGACGAGGCTGGGATGGGCAGACAGCCCGACTTCGGAGGAGGAGGAGGAG